ACGGTGTATCATTCTGTCTTCATTGTCTTGAGTCTTGAAGTTGTGTTTACCTTCACCCCAGCCTTCACCTGCTTCTCAAGAACAGGTGCATCCTCTCTTTCGTTGTCCTCGGCAGGAAAGAAATGGTGCGTCACTTCATTGCCTTGGAGTCGTCCTTTCAAATCAAACTGCCTTCACCCTGCCTCTACCAGCTTCTCAAGCACATTCTCGACAGAAAGAAAGAAACGGTGCGTCGTTCTGTCTTGATTGTCTCCAAGCTGTTTCTCAAACCAAACTGCCTTCATCCTGCCTCCACATGCTTCTCAGGTACACGGTCATCCTCTCCTACATTGTCCTGGGCGACAGAAAGCGGATTCTCTTTAACAAAGCCAATGAATTCCTCACCCTGAGCTGTGTGGATGCCCTTGTCAAAATCTCATTCTCCAATGTGCATTGGACACAGAAGCAAATGAAACTTGCGCAGACTTGAAGCCGGCATGTGTCTACAGTATATTCCAAAACTGGCTAGTTAGGGAGGGTTATTCTTGTCTATGCGTAGAAAACATCTCAGAAACTTTCAACAGATGCAACGCTTGCTGCTCAACTCTCAAGACTCTGCGCCTTGGGCTTCGTCTTGGGCTTTGGATGCGCTCTTCTCTTCAACGCCAATGAAGTCTTATCCGCAGCTGCGCCCTGCACAAAGTGCTTTTTCGGCAAAGGGAGGCTTGTGCAAGGGTAAGTGTCTGGTACCTCTTACTTCATCACGAACATTCACCCAGTGAGCCACTCAAATCACTCAATTTGTGCCCGGCAACTGAGAGAAGGTCGACCATGCGGAGCACGCCCAAACCAGGTTGGTGGGTGGGGGGGGAAGAAGACCCACACCGATTGGGGAAGTACGGGTCTTCCCTACCTCCAGGCTCTAGAATCAGAACTGGCTTTTCGAGGGACAAAAATGAAAAGCACATAAAAGCACTATGTTCTTCTTGGTGGAGAAGATGTCCCCGAGGGGTTCGTATCTTCGAGTCTCCCCAAGCAGGTTTCAGCAGTAAATCCCCTCCCGAATTGCTCGAGCTTGTCGATAGCGAAAGCTCGAATCTTGTGAGGGGAAGTTGTCTATGTGGGGCATCTTTGGGGGCAGCAGGCAGCAATTGCAACCGACTGCTGGTGGTCCAAAATCTGCTACTGCCATGCCCACCCAACATGCTTCTCTTTTGGGCTTGGAACGGCCAATCTCCAAGTATGGGGACTGCGTGACTGTACAGGAAGAACCCAGCACTCCTGCAAGGAGCATCCGGACGAAGATGTACATAATGTGTGTCTTGCATGCGCAAAACCATGCAGTTTCTGGAAATATGTGTGATTGTGAGGTTGCGCAAGGCAGTTCTACGGCATGGTTTGCACCCTTCGTGGCTGCCTTTGGCCTTCACTCCTGCTGAAAAGAACAGGAAAATACAGAAGCAACTGCTTGCAAACAAAAGAAAGGACGCATATCCAAAATTGGATCCTGTTTTGGAGTTGCTTACGGAATCCAACTATATAACTACCTTTCAATCAGACACTGTCCTCGACGGAAGGAAACTGATTCTATTTATCTTCATTGTCTTGAAACTGTTATCAGGTCAAATTGGCTTCAGCCCCAGCCTCCACCTGCTTCTCAGGTACGGGCGCATACTCTCTTAAAGTGTCCTCGAAAGCAAGGAAACACGTTGTCACTGCTTCACTTCATTCGCTTGGAGTGGTTTTTCAACTCAAACTGCCTTCACCCAGACTTTACCAGCTTCTCATGTACATTCTGGACAGAAAGAAAGAAACCATATGTCCTTCTGTCTTGATTGTCTCCAAGCTGGGTTTGAAACCAAACTGCCTTTATCCTGCCTCCACATGTTTCTCAGGCGCGCGAGCATCCTCTCCTACATTGTCCTCGACAGAAAGCAGGCAGTGTGTCATTCTGTTTTGAATGTCTTGGCGCCGTATGGAGGCGTCCACTTGGAAGTGGTTTGGATGATTTGAGTCTGTCATTCGGACATTCGAAGCTATAGGCCAAGCGGTTATTCTTGAATTGGTCGAAGACGGTTTCTGATTCGTGGTTTCTATGTTGTGTATCTCCAACATATTCGTGGGTCAACCAATCAGACCTGCGCCAGTGAGTGGTAGAATCAAAGTGTCACTTGTGCGCCTTGAGTTCTGGTGGTGCTGCAAGCGCTGTCTCAATCTCAAGGATTAGTTCCACGGCCTCCTCCCTTCGGAGGGAACCTGAACAAACACCAAGACAAAACCAAAAATGTATTTGCTGCATTTATTCCATTCCCAAAACGGGATATTTGGTAAACTTATTCCTTGTAATTAGCCACAGCGACCCCATCGGTGAACTGCATCGATGAAGTCATGCGCTGGCAAAGGCCATTCTTGCAAGGGATCTCCAAGTACCTCTCTCGCTTCCTCGGCCCAAGCTTTAGCCACGTCCCCCTTGTCGGGCAAACGTTGATGCGCGATGACCAAAGCGCATAGCGTCCCCACGCTAGGGATGTGGTTCTGGCCAAAATGTTCAAGCCACAGAAAAAGAAATTTGTCATAGGCCCGAACCACGCAACTGCGTTGAATTGAGATCCCAAACCTCATAAAGAAAGCGCGTGCCCACATCACACCACGTCGAAACTTTGCCCAACAACCTTGGCCAAGATTGTTTTATTGAAAACAAACAATTTCCAAGTAATTGCTACTCATGACTCGTCACACTCCGCTTGCACCATGGAAAAAGGGGTTGATAGAAACTCGAGTCGGGTGCACAAATCGAGAAGTGTAGCATTTAACGAGCGTGCCTGTCAAGAGGAAAACAATCGTGTAGGTTATGAGCAGAAGCAGCCAAGGCCACTTTCCCTTTTCAGGAAGTTGCTGGCCCCCACGGCAGCGAAATTGGAGGCCTGATGCAGAGCGCCGAGGAGGAAGAGCAGCTGGCCCGGCCTGGCCCCTGCTGAAGGAAGGGGAGGACAAGGAAAAGGAGAGTGAAACACTGAAGGCTGGATTCTGGGAAACTCTGCCTCTGCAAGCGGAAGGAGAAACGGTTTGCAGGGCATCCAAGAGGCCCTCAAGGCAGTAATGGCACCAACGCCGCTTTGAAACGACCAACAACAACAACAACAACAACAACAACAACAACAACAAGAAGCGGGAGAAGATGGAGGGCCGTGGATGGGAGAGACCATCAGATGCGCTGGAGGAAACGCCTGGGGTGAGAGATTTCCGGCGCGTTTGCTGATGGACGTGGCATGACTGGAAGGCGCGTCTGGCAGCACGGGCAACACCCAGCAGGGTGGTTGAGGGGAAGGTAAACATTGGGGATACAACCAGAAGAGCGGAGGGAAAGGGAAGCAGTGCAGGCGGGGATCCGAAGACGGGCAAAAGCGGATTGCAGCTTCGAGCATTTTTGGGAGGCGCTAGAGTCGTTCGTCTGAAAAAAAGAGTGGACTGTTTCCAAAGGAAAGAAAAATGCCGCCTTGTTGTACTTTGCGCGGTCTTCGCGCGCCCGCTACACAGGTTCTGCTAGTGAAGAGCAGCGGTCGGGCTTGCGCCCGACACTAACGAAGATAGGGTGGGCCATCTGAGATAATTGAAGAGTTTCAGTACCTGATCAGCTGACGCACCGAGGATTACGGGGAGGCGCTACTGATCAGCTGACGCACCGAGGATTTAAGGGGAAGCGCTACTGGTCGGGGGGCGGAGAGGGGTGGGAGAGGTCCACAGAGAGGTCAAGCTCGAACTGGCAGAGGGGCCGACGACCCTTGACTTCCATGGTCAAGTACTTTGATCTCCATCGGTCCAGACTATTGCACCACTGGGGGTTGGTCGAGGTCGGCTTTGGTGTCCTGTTAGGTAAGAATGCGATATTCTCTGGTATAGGGCGGCGCAACAAGCAGCTCGACCGCCATGGAGAGAAGAGCCAAGATCTCTTTGACTCCAGGAGTATCAATGCCGCAAGAGGCGCAGAAGATCTGGATCGCGGTGAGGAAAGCGAACCCTCAAGACAAGAAGCTGTCGAAGATCACCAATCTTCCTCACCCGGATAGGTCCAGAGGCATGAGGGTAGTTCACAATGATCCACTGAGTATCTGGCAGAGAAAGGAGGTGCCACAGCCGCCCACACCCAGAACCCAGCACGCCACGCTCTGATGACTCGATCTCGAGGGTCTCCGGCTGCTGAAGACAGCTTTCCAGCTGCAAGAGTCAGAAAGTCGCTTGGAACAGGCTGTGGACCGTCTTCGAAGATGCGCCGGTACTCCAGGCTGACCTTGTGGGGCTGTTCCGAAGTGGATTCAACCGGGTTCAACCAACTCCCAACCTGCGATGGACACCACACAAAAACAGGTGTAGTCGAGGAACTTGATGTCGATGAAGCCTCAAGAGCCAAGCTCAATCTATTCAAAGCACCAATGAGTTGATCAATGTCACTCTAGGTGATGGGAAGGCTCATCCACAGCGCAGGCTGCAAGGCGAGCTCTCCTTTCGAGAGGGAGAGAAGCCTCGAGAAGCTTGGGGCCAATGAGGATGCCTGAATTGCCAGGAGAGGCAGTGGAAAGCAATGAAGATGCCACAAGAGATGGCAAAAAGCAATCCCAAGAGGAATCCAAAGGCGACCCAAGGCAAGCAGCTGGAAGCACGATGGATAGGGCACGAAGCACGGCTCGAGAGGTCGGAAAAGACAAACACAAAGTCCGCGACCCGCTGCAGGCTAAACCACATTGCCATGCATTCACTTGAGCGGAGAGCAACGACGATCAGCTATAGTGTTCTAGAAGTGTACCATTGAATGACCGGCAGCCCCTTTTACTTGTCAAAAGTGGAAGGAAAAGTGGTTGCGCGCTGCAAATCTGAGGCAACTGCCACGTGAGCTGCCCTCCTTCATCAGCCACCGGGCACGAGTCCGACGGAATTTAGTGGTCCGCACAGGGGTCTTACAGCGTGGAACCTGCATTGCGGGGGACCAGAACAAGATCCACTTCTCCTCTTCATCTTCCTGAAAATATGGTAGCACGCCCTCCACTACTGTGAGCTTCAACTCCACAACCAAGCCTGGCAGGAGCTCCATCTGACAAGTGAGGCTTCAGCTTCCGCGCATATCTAGAACACAGCTCCACAAGAACAGTCATCAAAGTTAAACATTAGAGTCAAAGGTTTAGTGATATATCCTGGTGTGCAAAATGTTGCTCGTGGCTCTCAAGCCCAGGCAAACACTAAAGGACTTGTAAAAAAAGAACATACTAAAATCGAAGTACAAAGCATGTGGGCATTGTGTGTTTGATGTGGAAAGGAGACGAAACACAACAGAGAGGGGCGCTGCGCTCTGGAGCCCTCAGTTTGTCCAAGTTGTCAAAAACTCACACGTTCAAACGTGATTGAAACATTACCAAAAATTGTTAAATACGCCAGTCAAAAAATTGTTGCAATTTGTTAAAACACATATTGTGACAGATTGTGTGTTCTAAAACATATCCAAAGAAAGAATGTTTAAGAACAAACAAAGCGTAAACAATAAACAATGATAATTTCAAGATCAATTTTGCTTGGGAGCGGGAAGCCATGCTTAAAAGATAGAAATACAAATCGGCGACACCCTCTCGAGCCTGCCAGGGCTACTTAGCTGAGTAAGGACTCCTCACTTAAGTATGGGCTACTTAGCTAAGCACGGGTTACTCAGTTAATAGGGCTACTTAGTTAAGCCCAAACGAACCTCTAAATCTTGAACTTCGCGCGCAGCCATCTTCGCGATCAACGGCAAGAATGAAAATAAAAAAATACTGTCGAGGAAAAAAACAACATGTTTTTACAATCTTTGTGGGAACCTCCAGCATGAGTTGCCCCATGAGCCTTTCTTTGAAAAGAAAATTGCAAGAAAACATGAACGGGATCACAAGGTTTATCAATCATTCAAATTCATGGCGCATTCACTATTAAGAACCTCCCCCACTTAATCTAATTTGGTCCAGCTATGGGGTGTTCACCACTATGTGGGACAAATGGGCAGGCAGGCAGGCAGGCAGGCAGTAGCACGTATAGGTGTCAAGGTGATGTGTTTAGTGTAGCTGAGAATGAGGCGCGGAACTCTTTCGAGGGAAAGCAACAAGGAACAATTCCCACTCAAAGTTCACGAAGCAAGAGCTATTGTTTGATCGAGGCCTGATGAGTGAAGAGCTGGAGTTGGTGTTGGCAATTGGAGATTCTGAACATGAAGCGCAATAAAGGCTGATGGTGTGGGAGATCAGACCACAGTCTTGGGATCGCGTTGCACTTAAATGGGACCAAATGATAAGCAAATTGGTCCATTTCAGTGGTAATTGGGTATATTGCATACGGGATACCGGGCATTGACAACAAGGCCTGAGGAAATCGATGATATTGGACGTGCAAAGAAGGTGCTGGATATACATCTATCCCTGCAAATCAACATCCATGTGTTGCTTTGAAGAGTTTGGAATAGGAATCTGAGACTTGCAGAGCAGCGATTGAGATCATATCGGTCGATTTGCTACAATGGGGGCTGATAGGTATGCTCAGTTTCCCATCACCCAACAGGAAGAATGTTGCCACTAGGCAGGGATGGAAGCAATCAATGTGGCTTTGTCGCACCGGGAGGAGGAGGTGGTGGATTTGGAGACACAATTGCACAAATTAGCCGCACCATTGCAAAATGCGAAAGAAGCCGTGATGAAGCAAATGAAGCAACATGATGATAAGATCCTGAAAGCAGCCCAAAAGCTGCAAGATGAGAGGATCAAGATCACAGAGATTGCCAAGAGGAGGTTGGAGAAAGTTTTCTAAAGCATGGATTTGACAACACTGTCGTTTGCAACGAAAGGCGTCGTCACTTCCACGTTTGGTGTCTCGAGACTGAAAGTGAAATTCAACGTGCTCTTTTCACTGAAAGGGGATGCCACGATTTGTCCTACCCCAATTCTCTTTGTGGATCCCCTTGAAGTGAACAACCGAATCACGAATCCTTAAATTTGCAAAAAGCGTCACGCGCAAGGTCAGAGCATTCAAGCTCAGCGCTCCAAAATGGGTGTGGACTCAACCGTGATGGGAAATCACTGACGTTGGTCGGAACTCTCGAGAACCAACCCTTAGTGATCAGTTCAGCTTCCATGAGAAGATGGAAGTCCAAAAGTGCTTCTGCCCAAAAACCTATCCCCAGGCTCGAATCAGGGCAAACCTCGCGCTGTCATTGTCTCCAAACCAAGAAGGATCCAGGTTCCCCTTAAGGAACCGCCCCCAGAACGATAGGGCCAGTACCGCTGCAGCTAGCTCTAGCTCGCAAGTTATTGTATCTTTTGCTTCTGCGCCGAAGCACTTGCAATCTTCAAAATTCAACCTGAACCCAAACCGAGCAACGCACGGCCCCTTTGAGAGTTCACTCCGAGGCCTCCGGTTTTTGCGTCTCTTTCATAGGCAGCGTCGGTGTGAACAAACCATTGTTCCATGTCTTTCTCTGCAACTTCAACAGGTCTCCCAGCTTCCAATCTAGTTTTCATTGCAACAAGCGCTTGAGATGTCTCACAGCTCAGCGCCTTCTGTCGTGAGTAGGCATGGTCTTTCAGGCGCTTGAGCGTTAAGTTTCCCAAGCGGCCGCGCAGCGAAGCCAAGGCGTCCTCTGAGGACAAGCGCATCACGTTTGCTCAGCTCTCCGCTTTCAAAACTTCTGCTATCCTCAGGACGAGATCTTGTCGCCGTTGCTCAGTGTTGTAAATGTTCATGAGGCGTTCTCCAGATTTGCTAAGGTCAAACTCAACTCCCAGCGCGCGGCAGATCTCGGAAAATTCTGGCGTATTCCCAACCAGTCGACAAAAAGAGCAGCTCCATGGCATGGTTCGTCGATACTGCACTTCCAGGTCGCGAAAGCAGCACAAAATCGTCATAAACGTTTGCGTTGGTAATATACAAACCTCTTGCAGCAATGGCATGGATCATTCGCGCCAGTCAAAGGAAGTTGTACACAGAATGAGTTGCACCGGTGGCCATTTGGAATATTTCAGCTCTCTTCGCCTCGTGGTTGTACACACTAAAAAAAGCATACTTCAAGTGGTGGTCTTCACAGATGGGAACTCGCCTGTACGCACTCTTCAAATCAAGAATTTTCCCAACCAGCTCTGGATCCAGTTTTCGAGCTGCGCTGCAGGGGCTCCAACGTGGTGGTCATAGTAGGCTACAATGGCCATGTTGCTGTGCTCTGGCTTCATAGGAACGTAGCGGTGGGCATTGGGCAGGTCCTCGCCACCAGACCAAATACCAGCTTGCAACAACGCCGAAGCGTGGGCAGACGAAGAGGCTGCCTGCCACAACAGTTGGACGCGTAGACCTGGTTGGATGCTTGCGCGTAGGTCCAGCTTGTTCGCGTCTGAGCTCAGGGCGCTCTGGCCGCCGTCCGCGGCGTCGTCAATCACACGCAACTTGCCAGACGGTTGCTTGATGCAAAACCTCCGAATCAGCCGGAAACGGGAAAGTTCCTGGCAGAGTTGGGCCCAGGTCAAAGGTGGGCCGCAAAAGCCTTTGGCTTGGTCATCTTCGCCGGCCTGAACGATGGCAGCATCGTGTTCGCCAGGACGGAGGCTCTGTAGAATGCGAGCAGCTTCGGGCAATGCATCCTGGTAGATGGAATCGTCCGTGATGTAGTGGGCCGGTTGGGCCTTGTAGATGCGCACGAGAAGCCCACCGCTGAGAACCCAAAAATCAGAGATGGCGCCGGCGCGGCGCGGCAGCGGAAGTAAATAGAAGAAAAGTGGAAAATGCTGAAAGATTCTTGTGCTCTAATGCGTCGGTAATGAGGGAAGCTAAGGTGAACTCGTGGCGTGGAATGCAGTGCGAACTGACGTAGAGCGTGTGGGAGCTGATCAAATGGCTGCGGGTTAAAATTTGGGAAATGCGGTAAACAACTTCATGACTATGCAATACGGAGTGAATCAGTTATTCTGGAGGGAGGTCCATCGTTTATAGCCCGGCGGCTCGAAAATCCGTTAATTCAGTGATAGGATTGAAAAGGTGGAAGAACAGTTATAATTGTGAGGGACCAGTGAAATCCGGAATGGCGTCGGCGCCTCCTCTCGGAGGGTCACACCCAGCACCCAAGTGGGAAGACTGAGCGGCTCACACTTCGACATTGGTTTTCAGTTACACTCAATTCCCAGGTAAAAAGGCGGTGGAACGGCAAGGTGGCAGAGTCCGTGAAAAGGTATTGTTTAACAAAAGTTGTTGCGTCTCTGCAGCTCACAAGGTCGGCGGTGTCAAACGTCGGTGCGGCACAGCTGCTGGGGAAGAGTAGGTTTGGGGGAAAGTATCATGAACCGCCATGGAAACAAACAAAGAGGATTGGACAGCTTGTAAAAAGTTCTTGCAGGTACACACGGGTGATCAATCCGTGCTTCCCACTCCAAGGCATAGCTTCGTTGCACTGAGTTTGCCAAGGAGTGCTCAGTGCCCCTGCATGTCTTTGTGAAACCCTTAGAACCAGGGTGTGACACACACACACAAACACACACTTAGTCACTTAGTCACAGGGCTAGTGTCAGAATCCACGGTGAAATGGATGTGGGAACGGAAAGGCGCAAAATTCAGCTCAACTGAAGTGTTCAACAATGTTGACGCGTGATTGCGGAAGGCTGCGGTTTGGGGGAAGTACCGTGGGAACAAAAAAGGAACATTGGAGTCACAGCGTGTAGAAAAGGTCAGCAGTACACAGTCAGACGTCTCTGACCGCTTCCCATGACATCACTAGCTTCGTTGGCCAGCGTCGCGATGTCATGCGCTGGCATCCAAACAGGCTAGTCCCACTCCCCTGCATAAAGGTAGAAGTGAACGCCAAACAAACTCCTAGATACGGAGGGTGACACACACGCATGCTGCCCCTTTGCGGCGCTCCCTGACCAGCCGGTGGTTCTTTTTGTCTTCAAAATCGTCGGCAGTCTGCGGCGGCGGGCCCTTTGGCGATGTACAGGTTGATCAAGTGTTCAGCCGCGGCGGCAGCTGCAGTGGGCGGGTAGGTGTACTTGTAGATGGTGCACAAGCGGGATGCAAGCCCAGAGAGGGCTAGTCGTTTGCTGCCAGCGGAAGTGGAGTCACGGATTTTCCAAGGTTGTGAAGGTTGGATGTAGGTGATTGCGCGGGTTGTCAGGTTGATGTTGAAGCCGAGCAAGTGAAAGTCCTCAACGGTCTCGAGTTCGATGGGATCACCGAAGAATTCTTGGTGAATGAGTGTTTGAACGCCGGGGTGGGAAGAAAGTGTTCGTTGTGTGTGTGCGATGAAACGGTTGTCTACGTTAGTTGAAATGGAGGTTGGTGTGGTGGAGAACGTTGGTGTGGAGTTGTTGCCAAGCATGTTCAATGAGAGCGATGGCAACGTTGCAAAGGGCCGGCGACAATTGGGAGCCAATCCCAGCGCAACGAATTTGCTTGTAGGTGTGGTTGAAGGCCGGAAAATGCAGGTGTCAAGGGCAAATGTGTGCAATGGTTGAACGTCAGTGACATGGAGCGTGCGTTGGGTGGCACGTCGTAGATGGTGTCTGCCGATGCGGGCACGGTGGTGTCAATGGTGAGCGTGGGTGTGGACTGTTGTTGTTGCCAGTGGTGGATCAGACTGTAGATGGCTTCAAGAAGCGATGTTGTGGGACAGAGTTGAAGAAACCTACAAGGTCATCGTTGGCGGCATGAAGGTTAATGTCATCTGGGGCGTTGTTGAGATAAGCGCGAAAATGGTGCCACAAAGTCGTGGGATGGAGAGCTGTCCTGGGTGTTGCGGGTAGAGGCGTTGTAGAATGATGTCGAGGGCGCGGCTGGTGCTGCGTAGAAGGTTGCCTGCCAGGGAGTGGTAACAGGAAATGATGGCTTTCTGCCATTGTTTCTTCTCTTTGAGGTGGACAATGCCATAGGGGATGGTGAAATCCTTGCGGAATCCCCATGTGTAGCGTGCGCGGAGGCCGGTGGGAACGGTGGCTTGGAGGTGCTCTGCGATGTTGAGCGGTGTGAGGTGTGGCATGGGTTGGAAGAGCTCCGGCGCGCGCCAAGTGTTGAGGGCGCCGAGAAAGTATTGCTGAGGGCAAAAGATTCGGAGCAGCTGGAGTTCGTGATCGGCGTGGCGTAAGACGACTTGGTCGCGGGGGTATTCCTGAAGCTGGCGGATGAGTCTGGCTGTGAACCTAGGTTGTTGATTGAGGTGGATGTGTTGTTGCCACTGTTGGTTGAGGAAAACGTCGGAGTATTGGAGGAGTGTAGGGGGAAGCCCTTGGACGCGGAGCCATTTGCGGAAAGCTGTTTGAAAGGTGAGGTGGTACCGGGCTTTGGTGGGAAAGAACGCGCTGTTCATGTTGGCATCTAAAAAGATGCGGAGGTGTGGAGGCAGAGTGATGCTGTCAAGGGTGAGGATGTAGTGTCCGCCAGTAGTGGGATGGGCAGGTTCCAACAGTAGCGTCTTCCAATGGGTGCATGCACAGGGGAGATCGGTGTGGTCAGCGGCGGTGGTTGTGGAGTTGGCTGCGGAGTGTGTTGTGAGCGGCTTCGCATAGCCGACAAGTGGGTAAATGTAGGGGACGGGGTGAGGGAGGTGTCGTCGGATGAGTGATTTGAGCCAGTGCTGGGTGTCGGAGTTAAAAGTGTCGCGCGCCAAGCATGGGATAGTGAGAGTGGTCGGCTACGTACAGCATGAACCTTGATGTTTCCATTGTGCAGCTACTTGGCAGGTTGTCTTCTTATCCACAGCTATTTCTAACTCAAAACACCGAGCTCTCGCCTTCCCATTTGCTTCTTTCTCATCATGGAAGCTGCTTTTTGGCATTGGACCCACAACACCCCTGCCGCTCACCTCTACGGCATCTACACCTCTCAGCACCGCCTCCGACATGGCTTGTACCACAGCCGAGAACAACTTCATTCACTACAACAAACGATGTACTTTGATGATTCCGTTTACCCTCATCTACCACAACCCCTCTTGGATCGTGTCCTACGAATCCGCGCACTCGTCGACCACGCTACCGAAGATTTGACAGCAGCCCTTGGACACATCGACGCTATCAGCCAGATGTCACCCAGACTATTAAAAGGCAAAGGCAAGGGCGTTCCACCAACTCCCACAGATTCAACCAATGTCTCACAGACAGACCTTATTCACTCTTGTCCCAACCTTCCAACACAGTCTGACATGACTACAGCACCACAAGACACTACCACCACAACAACTCAGCCACCCACTACACCTGATTTTCCACACACCATTCACACATCACCGGCGCCCATACTCACTGACAACATCAAGCGCTTTGCTCCGGCGCCGCGCCCACACCCATACTACACATGTACGCGCTCAGCCAACAGCTGTGTTTCTCCACCACGTCCCATCAACCTTTTTCCCTCACCACCACCACGAACCACACCACAGCAGTGCGATCCAACACAGGTCTACAGCCTACGCATCCCTTTACGTGGAACCGCCACACTTACTCCAGCTGGACCTATCACAGCCATCCCACACGCCCCACAACCAGCATCCACGGCACAGCCCTTCACGCTTCCCTCCACCATGCCCAATATTCGTCCAAATCACCCGGAAGCATCGGCAGGACCAGAAGGTCCATGGTGGGACGCCACAGGTTCAGCTCCCTAGCAGCTCTTCAATTTCGAACGACATGAACTCCAACAAGCAGCTCTTGCTTTTCTGACCATGTGCTTGCTGTGGTTAGCCATACCACGTTGTTAGTTGCTCTGATTCATTTTACATGTTCCAAATTCGATGAATGCTCCGAATATGATTTTTCACTTTTCACTCTTCAGTGTACAGAATATCGCTCCTCAGTTGCTTCCGGAAAAATAGTCTGCACAGACAACCTATTCCGTATCACCATGCAGCTTGGAGACATCCAGTCAGTTTGCATCCATACTTTGTTCCACTTCCTTGCTTAGTTGGTTTCAGATCAACCATTTCAGATTGTCAGCTTTCAGTTTTCAGCTTTCAGCCTTCAACCTGTCTCTTTCAGAGTCGGATTTAGATGTTGCAATTTCCACTTCAGACTTCGGAACTTTGCTCACAGTTTACAATATCTCCTTTTTGATTGCAGCAGCCCACGATTTTCAAACCGCGATCCACCGTACCTATTGTGCTTGCTGTCCTTACTGACACTCAGTGCCCATATATTTGATTGCCATAGTGGCTCAATCCCACAGCACCTTTTGCAGCCACGACGCACTGCCGACACAGTACTCCACCATGGACGCACATCAACAAATGGTGGCAGCACTATTACTCTACCGCAGCTCCAAGCGCGGGATACGGACCGCTCACCAATGCAGTCCGTCACCATTACCATCACCCCTACCACACACCAACAGCACCGGCGACAGATCACAACACCACCACACCGCCGCTGTCCACAGCCTTTCCACCAGAACCACTTCCACCACCCCCTGCTGCAGCAACACACCCAACATTCCAGACACCTGGACCCAAAGCAAGACACATCTCGATGCAAACACGGTCCATGGCCAGACTCTCTTTCGTACCATTCAGCCTACTCAATGCTCCAGGAAGCACAACCTAGCAGACCAACCGGTACTTGACATCTTTCCTTGGCAGCTCAGCCGATTTGGTCTACACGATCAAAGCCTCCGCACGCTATCACAAGGACGCTACACCGGCATTGTAGCCACTCGATCAATCGCTGAAGCAGTGTTCACCTCTCAGCTTCTCACGGATATCCGTGCACGCCACCTGGATATCGACAACATCGCTGAATACTTACACCAGCAAGCACATCAGCCCATCCCCAACAAGACCACAGACGCAAAACAATTCACGCAACCTCTCATTTCCCGCTCTCATTTCCCGCCTCACCGATTTCCTCCGCGGCCTCACTTCCCCAGCCGGTGAGGGCAGCACTACGCAAGCTTCAGCAGCAGACCGACCGCCTGCACTAACAAGAGAGTGAGCTCCAACGTGCTCGTGACAAGCTCAAAAACCATGGCATTGCCCTCACTCCCACCAAGCCTGGCTCCACCAGCACCTCCGCACCAGCACCAGCCCTCTCACTCACAGCGCCAACCACAGCCCCACCAACATCACACACTATTCTCAACCCCACCTCCCAGACACTTCAAGACAACTCACCAGCCAATTTTGCACACGCTGGCATCCAAAAATGGATGAAGACACTTGCTCCAGCCACTCAGACTCAGGCCAACAACATGCTCCAGATCCTCCGCGACGAGCGTATCAGCAAGGAACAGCTCCAGCAAGCCACCACCAAATACGGACTCCCATTCACTCGAGTCCTCAAACTCCCACCAAAATCACTTCAGCAACTTGTGGCAGCAGGATCTGCCCTAGCAGCCTGACCCGCTCATCAGGCACAGCACCAACCCACCCATACCCTCCTTCGACAACTCACCTCCCTTCACACAGCACTCTCACACTTTGTCCACTTCACACCCTACATTGACAAGTCTTACGCCATCTTTACAGTCAGCCTCATCCACCTCACATGTTTTTTTCGCTCTTCCATCACCCACACAACACTACTCTGTCAAGTGGCGTTCTCGCCTCATCACCAATATCACCAGCATGGCCACACTTACATCGGCTCTACTAGCATCAGCAAACCCAAACGTGAATACAACCGCCACGCAAAACTTAAACAACTCCACAACAATCACCCCATTTCAGCAGAACTCTCACTCCGCTACTGGCATTCCAAAAACAACCTCCACCACTACAGCACCATTTGCCTCTCCTACCACGACACTTACGATCAAGCTTGGACTTACGAACACCTACGCATACAAGAGAAGGGTGAAAGGGTCCGCGAGAATGGAAGTGTTTCAACATCGGCGCACTAGCACTTTACAGAAAGAGGAGGGTAACAGTTGGTCAACAGTTCAAACCAGATTGAGTGCAGGTACACAATGCAGCGTCCCGCATTGCTTCACGACCAATCTATCACTGTCTTCGTTGGGCAGTGAGTGATAGTGGTCCACTGCCCCTCTGCATGTGATGGACGGTCCACTCAAAGTGAATTGGGTTGTGCAAAATCCTTGGATACAGGCGCTGACACACACACTTTTATTGAATTGCGTACTGATTTGGTTGCGGTTTGCCACACGCCAGCCTAAGTGAAAAAAAGACTAAGAGACCAGGGTGAGTAAAGGTCAAAATGCAACAACTCAAAGTTCTCCAATCTCCAAAGCTTAAAGGTTTCAAATTGTAAACCGCAACACGAGCGAGCGACAAGGACGACCAAACGTGCATTAGCCCTTGACAGCAGCAAGACCTCTTCATCCTGCAACAGCCTTCAAGACTCTAGAATGGGATCGTGGTTACGAACATCACAATTTGCAGGTACGTCACGGTGATCAGCCGTGATATCCTAGTCAACTGCATGGAGCTTCATTGGCGACAGCCATGCAGCGACGACTCTGTCGCCCCCTGCTTAAAAAGCATAAGAAACACTCCAACAGGAACCTTGTGACTCCAAAGGTTACACACACACACACACGACACACGCCCCCCCGAGGGGAGGCAATCCTTTTTACATCATCCCTCTAAGGCCCCGGCAGGTTCCAATGAACCTAAAAAGTACTTCGGTCGCTCTGACCACGTGGTGGCGTTAAGCCAGCTTGGACCGCTGCGGTCACGTAATGGCATAGAGCCAGCTTGGAATTCAATAATTCGTCAAGTCTTGGCAAATAACTTTGGCATAAGCCTCCTACGCTCGCCGCGATCTGCTCTGTATCCGGGCAAGGGATACGTTCGACAAATCCTCGTTCAACGGGTCCACAGGGGCCACTCTGCGGGGTCACCCGCACGCCAGCCTAAGTGAAAAAACCTAAGAGACCAGGGTGAGTAAAGGTCAAAATGCAACAACTCAAAGTTCTCCAATTTCCAAAGCTTAAAGGCTTCAAGTTGTAAGCCGCGACACAAGCGAGCGACAAGGACGACCAAACGTGCATTAGCCCTTGACAGCAGCAAGACCTCTTCATCCTGCAACAGCCTTCAAGACTCTAGAATGGGATCGTGGTTACGAACATCACAATTTGCAGGTACGTCACGGTGATCAGCCGTGATATCCTAGTCAACTGCATGGAGCTTCGTTGGCGACAGCCATGCAGCGACTCTGTCGCCCCCTGCTTAAAAATCGAAAGAAACACTCCAACAGGAATGTTGTGACTCCAAAGGTTACACACACACACCCTTTGCGGCACTTTCCTGTTCCTCCAATTGAGCTCTAGACCCCTGTTTCCAAAAGTCCTGCAGGGCAAACCACATACAGGACCATGGCCAAAGCACGAAAATCTGCTGGCTCTCTACAGCCCGACTCCTCCGAACACCAGCAAAGTTGCACAGATTCCGGTGCAAAGCCATCGAGCTCTAGATATCCGAGATCAAATTGCAAATCCCACGACCGATTCGAAGCATTGATGGGCTGCACCGGTAATATTGCTGTCTGAAGAGACGTGCCGCATTCCTTCATTGGAAGCAACTGATCGCTTTTTGAGAGCCGTGAACCCTGCAGAGTGGTGACAACACAACTAGCTCCGAGATCGCAAACTAAAGATTGGCCCCCAAAGGGACCAACCACAACAAGCAATCCCACTTCAAGCCACTGCCCTGCATGCCCTGCGCAATCTGAATTCAGAGGGACCAACGGAGGCGGTAAGGACCAGGCTGGGCATACAAATAAAGCGTCACATCAGACATGGCACTGAGGTCTTGTGAGTCTTCACTGGCAAAAGAAAAACTGTATCCATCCAGAGTCGTGAGATGCACAGAGCTAGAGAAACCCAGATCCGAAGAACCAGTAAAGAAGTCGACAACTGTGAGCGTGTCTCCTGTTTCAAAGCTGCGGTTTGGTAGTTTCACAGTACACTCCTGACCTACGAAGCATTCCTCGACAGCAAGCTCTTTCACTCCATAACCAGCATAGCGCCAGAAGTCCTTCTTATAAGAAACATCAAAGCCACCAAGAATATACATGAAACGTAAGTCTGGGTCCCACACAGCAGTGTGGTCCTCTCGAGCAGAAGGGCTAGGATAAGTTCCAGGAGGTGCCAAAGGAGTCCAGGCATTGGTCAACAAGCTGTAGTTCCACAATTCTGCTGTGTAGCTGAATGACTCATTCAAGACTTTGACACCTCCACAAGTCAACATAGAAAATGTCAAAGGATCCCAAATAGCAGAATATCCGGCACGACCAGAAGGAGGATTTGCAGGAGACAGCAATGTCCAAGCATTCGTCCACCAGCCATACAGCCATACATCATCCAGCGCAGTGGATGCCCACCCCCCCAAAAATGAGCATCGCGTTCATTGCACCTGCCCAAACTGCAGAGTGCCGACTGCGGGCCGAAGGCTTCCCTGACGATGGTGTCAACTCTCTCCAATCGTTCGATAAGAAACGATACTCCCACAAGTCGGCCATAGGGATCCCGTTTTCTCCAGCGAAAATTAGCATGATCTGATTGGCTAAATCCCATATCGCACTGTGGTAAGCTCTTGCTGTGGGCATTGTAGATGAATTAGAAAGCCTCCACGCGTTGGTGCTCAAACTGTAGAGCCATAGCTCACTGTAGTATGTCGTGTAATGGCTCCCGCCAAAAACAATCATCGTGCGAGAGCCCATATCCCAGATCGCCGTATGGCCACCTCTAGACGAAGGTCCACCTGCTACCAAGAGTTGCTCCCAAAGGCCGTTGTGATATCGCCACAGGTCATCGTAGTACCGAAAGGATCCGGCCTCATGACCAGCAAAAACCAACATTGATGCATCCGTTGCATCCCAAACGGCAGAGTGACCTCTGCGAGCCGACAAGTCGGGATCGGCCAAAAAGCTCCAGGCATCCAAATGGCATTCTACTCCAACAGCTTCCCAAGACCCGCAATCATGAATTCCCCAACCTCTGAAGGGGCACTGGCCCAAATCGGGCTCCGATCCAACACATGCAACTTGATCCATACCAAATTCTCCACTTCCATTCCAGCCAAAGCTTGAAAGTCCACCTGCTAGACCAAGTTGGCGACAAACGACCTGCGCGTTCAGGTTATTCCAGTTGTCCTCACAAACATCACGCCAGGACTCTTGATATTTCACCTGAATTCGGCCTTTCATCATTGTGCCATCCACAAGTCGAATCTCTGTCTTGATGGTGGTGGGGATCGTGCCAACATCGACCCGCGGCAAGTAGTCTCCCATCTCAGATTGCTCGTCGCCAATCCTTTCAACGTTGCCAAGCCCAAGTTGGCCATAGTATCCACTTCCCCAACATTTTATCGAGTCGTCATCGAGCAACGCACACGCATGGTGCGAGCCAACTGACAAACTCTTTGCGGTCCTGTCACTGCCCAATTCCACCGCTTTCAAACTGTCTCCCATCTC